TACAGAATAGCCTTCTGAAAATTACTGCTCCCCAAGTCACACTACTGCCCTATTAAATCAAAATATCTGGTAATGGGCTCCCCAGTTAATTCTAACATGCAATCTAGTTAAGACATAGATGTTTAGAAGTAGAGGAAAGGAAATCCCACTCAGAAAAGCAATAGCTTTGGGTAGGGCTTTACCCCATGGTTTCCTCAAAGGTCCGTTAATTCCATAAAATAATAAGCAAAAAGGTTGTGTGTGACCAGGGAGGGAGTGCATAGTCGTCAACATATTCTCCAAAGGAGCTGTGACTCTATCACCCAAAGTAAAAGTAGCTAAGGAAGCTGATTCTCAGGGGGCCTGGCCTGCTTACACAGTTTCTGACATCTCACACACATCACTATCACCTACGTTTCAAACTCCATTCTGTTCATACATTAAGGCTTCTGTGAGAAATATCGGCTTCACTTTGCATAGCTTCAAGGCTTGAAATGTTTATCCCTGCAGATACACTCAGGTTAATAAGCATTTGTTTCAAACTGCTTATTAAGAAGAAGAATCCAACATGTATCCATCATTGGCATGTTGGCAAGAATCACTTTATCTAGATTGGTTTTATGTTACCGTATGTCCTAAAGTAATAGGTATTTTGAATGAGCAGAGAAGGGGAGAATGCAGAACATTCACAGTTAAGTAGAGCCCCACAGAGAGATTTTCAAAAAAAAAAAAAAAAAAAAAAAAAAAAAAAAAAAAAAAAAAAAGGACAGTGGGAGCCTGAAAGATTGAGAAGGGCATCTGACTCAGATGTGTGTGGAGGAAAACCAGAGGACACAGAGTAATTTTTAATTATGGTACCTGAGACTCATTGTACGATGAAGAAACAAATAGAAAATTGTCTTCCTTCTTTTCTTCCGCCATATTCCTCATATACAGATTCCTCAGAATCATTAAGGACTAACATGATCTCTACTAGCAGGGTCAGTTTTGAGTAATGTAAAGCATGGGAGCCTTAGAACATCGACAATTGCAGTTGATACGCAGTATCACAGAGCTCCCTTCCCAGCTCTGCCATTCAGTGTCTGTGTGGCCCGGAGCAACTGTTCACCTCTCTAAGTCCAAGTTTCCTGTCTGTGAAATGGCGGTGATAATACCCACCTCATCAGGTTATCGTGAAAAAGGAAATGAAATAATTTTAGTACTTATTACAGTGCTTCAAACTACCAAGTGTTCAATAAATGGCTGTTACCACAACTCAGCCCAGTTATGATCAAATAGGCATTTTTTGGACTGGCCTAAAAATGTAACTGTGTATCAGTTGCAGTTGTCTATGTTCCAAGTGACTGGCTTTGAGATAGATAATCTTCACTATGAAAACACTTAAATACTCACTTTGCATTTTCAATTTACTTTTTAAAGGAATTGCTTGTTGTTCCAACTGCCAGTTCTTTTTCTCCAGCTACTCAGCTGCCATCTTCATCTCACAGCTAACAGAAACTCCTCCCTGAAATGAGAGTTTCTTAGGAACAAGAATCATGTCTTTATCAAATAACCATTAATTGAGCATCTATAAGCCAATAATTGGACATAAAAAAGATATATATAATTAGCTCCTTTCCTCGTGGGGCTTAACTTCTACCTGGGAAAAATAATATGCAAATGCAGTTCAAGATTATGACTTATAATAAAGATGTGTACCAAGAACTCTTGGGTATAGTGGAAGAACAGATTTATTTTATTTCATGTGATAAGAACTCTTCGCCAAAACCTAAAATGCAATATAATAAATAAATGGGAAAAAAAAAAAAAAGAACTCTTCGTAAGAGAAGTGGCATTAGAACTGAGCCAAATGTATATCAAAGTCAATAATGATTCCATCACCTTGGAAGACAGAGATGGAAGGATCACTTGAAGCCAGGAGTTTGAGACCAGCCTGGGAAACACAGCAAGACCCCTGTCTCTACCAAAATAAATAAATAAAAATAAAATTAGCCAGGCATGGTGGTACATCTTTGTAGTCCTTGCTCTTCAGGCGGCTGAGGCAGGGTGATCACTTGACACAGGAGTCTGAGGTTACAGTGAGTTATGAGCATACCACGGCACTCCAGCCTGAGTGACAGAGCAAAACCTTGTGTCAAATACTACTAATAATAATGTGTAAAAAGTATGTAGGAACAGAGAGATCTGCGTGGCTGCCACTGCAGGACAAGATTCCTAAGTGTGGTATAGCACAGTTGGACCTTAATACCTAGGATAAAGACAGAAGATGAAATGTTATGGCGTGCATCCAGGCATGTATATAATAGTAAGAGATATTATTAATAAATAGTAAACTGGCTGATGGGAAATAACGTTAGAGAGGTGCTACCATGAAACTGTATGTTGCCAAGCCCTGGGAACTGAGCAGGGAAGTTTAGACTTCATGCAATAAGAAAAAAAAAAAATAAATTGAAGAAGAAGAAGAAAAAAGATAGGATTTCAACATGAATTTGGAAAGAAATTATTTTTTGAAAAAATAAAAAAAAAGAAAAAGATTGAGGCTAAAGATCGAGACTGAAGCATCTTGAATCAGTGTTACTAATGCAGCTATGAGCTGTGGTAGGTCCAGATGTCCAGATGAGTATGTGTTTAGAGATTAACTATAGACATAAATGTGATAGTTTATAAATGTCACCTGGGATGTCTGAAGAATAATATCACTGACAAATATTGCAAAGATAATGTGAAAGATTATGAATCATGTTTACGTAAACAAAATTTAGTGTCATCTTGATGCCAAGTATTTGAAAATACATAATGTTTCATGCATATGTATCGACATAATATGTACACCTTCATTCAGCATCTATTTCCCACACTTACATCTTGTTTCCAAAAATAAACTACCTACTTCTGCTGGGCAGAATCTCATCTCATATTTCTCATGCATTCTATAGAGGCTACCATGTAAAAAACCATAAAGTTGGTACTTAATAAGAAATTATTATTTGGTTAAATGAGGCCAGAAATAGGAGAAAACTAGCCCATCTTAGATGGAATCGATAGTGAATAAAAATTATTTATTCCTAATAATATTGATGGAGTGGGAAAAGTTTAACTGTGCCAAATAATTCTACACAATAAAACTATAGTTCATTTTTTTTAATTTTTAGAAAATGGTTTTTAGGAGACCCATTAAAAAAATATGCAGTAGAACAAATCTGATGAACCTGAAACATCAAGGGAAATAGTGAAAAATCATGCTTCTCATCTACTCTGGTGTGTATAGTTTTTTTTCACTTTAAAAATGTGATCTTAAAGTGGGGGTGGGGGAATAAGACAGTAAATCAGCCCAATCTTTCATACTAGTATCTTTACTTCCCTTAGAAAAAATGACTTTAATTGCACAGGGATAGAAAAAGGATATTTGAATCCCTCTCCCTGACAAGATTCAAGGCTTTCATTTACAGTAAATTCACATTTACAGTAAATTTAGATTTGGGGGTAGAATTTAAAGCTCTTGTCCATCAACATGTAATGAATGAATATGGCACTTGCATAATAGCATTTTTTTGAGCACTGTTAGAAGGAGCAAGGGAGTCTTCCCAGTGCTAAAGAAAAAAGGAAGTTAAAAAATTTAAGGATGTTTCAATTAAAAAAAAAAAAAAAACACCTAGTTGAAATAAGTTGGCAACTCCGTGTTTAGAATCTATGTTGTTTCTCTAATGTTCAGGAATGGTTAAGGCAGGAAGGAGAATCTCAAGGTCACCAGGAATAGTCCTCAGAGTATTCTTACAGGGCTTATCTGTGCTCACATGCCTAATTTTTTCCAAGTGCAAAGAATGGCCACTTGCTTGAGACAGGCCCAGTGCCATCCTTTATTCAAGTTCCTTTATACTCCTCTTTTTAAAGAAGCTGTCAAGTTCTTTTTTTGCAGCTGACAGGAAAGGCCAAATCTCTGGTACAGGAAAGGAGGCGCAAAAAAGAAACTTTTTTGTGTTGATGTTTTACTAAGTGAGCTAAGGAGAATTTTAGAATCATGCAATTTACTCTGGAGGCATTTACTGTACATAGCTATAGTGATGGTAATTTCTTTCATTGTTGAAGTGAAAAGATAACCATCAATCAGTTGTCAATTGGTCAATTGCAGAAGTGATGAAAAGAAACTGGTAGGAACAATCACTTCTGTGGCTACCTAGACCATTTGGAGGCATAAGAAAAGTATGGGAACTGGATTGCATTTTAAAAAGGGATTGGACCAGATTTTCAAGAAGGTTAATAGGCATAACTTCCTTGTAAAGAATAGCTTTGCAGTTATGCATAATCAGGAAATGCAATTTTAAAATGAAAAATTTAAAAGACAATGAAAAGTTTAAAAGTAAAAATAATTATTTAGCCCAGAAAATCTTGAATTTCCATGTGATCTTAATGGAGGAATAAATATAGTTTACTAATAACCCAACACATGTATTTAAAGCAAATTAATGAAAATTACTTTGTACTCGTGCCTTAGGTTCTAATCTTGGGCACTTTGAAATAAATAACTTTCCGAGTATTTATTATGAGAAATGGAACACCCAAGTTAATTGTGAACATTGTCTTTAAGCAAATATTTACAGATAATTTAATTTTCTCGAACATATGGAAGTTCATATAAACGTTAAGATAAGAACAATTTTAAAAATCATTAACTTGCATAAAAGGCAAATAGCACTTAGGGACTTAGTGATGTAAGCAAGATTTCCTTTTAATTTATCCTATTTTCCTAAGAATGGCAATGTTATTGATTTATTCTGAGAGAGTTCCCCACACACAGTGATTTTTTTTTTTTTTTTTTT